TTTAAAAGATTTATGCCTCCTGCACATTTATTATATATTAATAATACACAGATATTAATACTTGATTATGTGGTTCATAGATGGCTCATAATCAGGGATTACGTTGTATCTTCTCTTCCTCCAAATTACTGAGTAGACTGGGCATTTAGCAAGTCCTTCATCTCCTTAAAGTCTTTACTAACTTGTTTCCCCGATTCTCCTCTTGGCCCCCATTGTGGCCTGTTCACAACATAATGGCCAGTGTTACTTGCTTTAAATGTGAGGCCACTTAACATTACTTCCATGTTTAAACTCCAGCAGTGGATCCTGGTTTTACTCAGAACAGAAGGTAATGCCCTTCCAGTCCTTACAAGCCCCTCCGTGATCTGCTCCCACCTTCTCTGCTCCAGCCACACTCATACACCTTGCTTTTCACACGGTGGTGGGGTAAGGGGAGTGAGGGATGGTTAGCAATTTCCTCCTCTTGGAAGGCTCCTGCCTACGATGTCCATATTTACTCACTGTCTCCTTCAGTCTGCTCACACAGCGACTTCTGAGTGACACGTTTCCTAAATATTCCTGCCATTTTATTTACTTTCATTTTTTTTTTTAAGATTTTATTTATTTTTTAGAGAGGGAGAGCACAAGCAAGGGGAGCAGGCAGAGGGAGAGGGAGAAGCAGGCTCCCCACCAAGCAGGGAGCCCGACGCGGGGGCTCGATCCCCAGGACTCTGGGATCAGGACCTGAGCCAGAGGCAGATGCTTAACCAACTGAGCCACCCAGGCGCCCCACATTTTATTATTTTATTATCTTATCTATCTTGCTTAATTAGAATGCAAGTTCTGTGACATCAGAGATCTTGGTTTTGTTCACTGATATATTCCAAGTGTCTAGAACAGTACCTGGTCCGTGGTATGCATTCAATAAATATCTATGGAATGAATGAATAAAAATAAATGAATGAGTGAATGAAAATTTCCCACTAACCACTTACCTGAGTTTTGCTATAAATTTATTAGACAACTCCAACTCCAACTTAATCTTCTATATATATTTTTTTAAACTCTGAAAATGTATATAAAGATTTTTTTTTTTTCCCTTGGGGTGCCTGGGTGGCTCAGTCGGTTAAGCGTCCAACTCTTGGTTTCATCTCAGGTCCTGATCTCAGGTTGTGAGACTGAGTCTGGCATCAGGCTCTGTACTCAGTGGGGAGTCTGCCTGAGATTCTGTCTCTCTCTGTGTCCCTCTGCCCCCTGCCCCAAATAAATAGATAAATCTTTTTTTAAAAATATTTTTTTAAAAGATTATTTATTTGACAGAGAGACATAGCGAGAGAGGGAACACTTGCAGGGGGAGTGAGGGAGGGAGAAGCAGGCTTCCCGCTGAGCAGAGAGCCCGATGCAGGGCTCGATCCCCAGGACCCTGGGATCATGACCTGAGCCAAAGGCAGACACTTAATGACTGAGCTACCCAGGCGCCCCCCAAAATATTTTTTTTTCTTAAGTTGGGGAAGGGGCGCCTGGGTGGCTCAGTCAGTTAGGTGTCTGCCTTCAGCTGGGGTCATGATCCCAAGGTCCTCAGGGAGCCTGCTTCTCCCTCTCCCCCTGCTCGTGCTCTCTCTCTCGCTCACTCTCCCTCTCAAATAAATAAATAAAATATATATTAAAAAAAAAAAAGTTGGGAAAGAGGAAGTAGGGAGCTAAAGAGTTTTTAAAAATATGACCATATTAGGGGCACCTGGGTGGCTCAGATGGTTAAGCGTCTGCCTTCGGCTCAGGTCATGATCCCGGAGTCCCGGGATCGAGTCCCACATCGGGCTCCCAGCTCAGCAGGGAGCCTGCTTCTCCCTCTGACCCTCTCCCCTCTCATGCTGTTTCTCTCTCGCTCGCTCTCTAAAAAATAAATAAAATCTTTAAAAATATATATATATATTAAAAAAAAAAAAAAGTATGACCATATTCTTTTCTTATGCCCATTACAAGAAATTCAAGCAACATAATATAAGGAGGCAAGTTTCCGTGAATGTTTTATGGCAAACTCAAAATCCTGCCACCTGAACCTAAGCATTATTAACATTATATAAATGTCATTGCAGACATCTCCCTTGATATAGGGGGATATGCATGATACAGGTGTTACAGATAAGCAACACTGAAGGTCTGTCTGTCTCTGTATACTCGTAGTGTGCAAATAATTTAGGCTGACAGGCTGGAGAGAGACATGTGTTCTTAATGAATTTACATGTAGTAAATTCTCATGACATTTGATTCCAAACTGTATGTATGAATTGGCTTGGCATATTAATAATTTAAAGCAAAACATAAAGGTAATTTAAACAGTGGTATTAATTTATATGAGTCAGTTCAAAGTAAGTGACTAAAAGAATCATAAGCTCAGTTGCTTTAGGAAGCAACAATGTACCCATGTGCATTTGAAGATCAAGGGCTAAAGAGCCATCCTTTGAATAGCATATATATGTATATATGTAATATATTCATGTATGTAGGTAATAGACACAGAGACAGACATGGCAGACATGCTTAGGTCTATGGATGTAGATGGCAAGTGGAAAGACAGATTTTTACAAAACGTGTTCTCATTTAAAAGTTTAAATTTAGTTTAACATATATTTATCAGAAAAGGTAAGGAAAGAGTTCAAGTTTGGACACCTTTTTCTTCTGGGTATTTCATTCCAAAAGATCTCCAAAGTTTTAAGAGAAAAGAATTCAGGGAGAAGACATTGTTCCATGTTTTAAATGATATAAGGCATTTTTAGACTTCATTGGTATGTGATTCCCTGATGTGATAAAGCAATTGGTACAGTTGCATTTCATTCCACATTTAAAGTTTTAGTCACAGTGAGTCTGCAATATTCCCCCAAATACAGGAAGACACAAGCTCAATAGACAAGTTTCTTCATTGTAGGAAAACATAGTTTATGCATATATAAGTGATTTCCTTGGAACATACTTAATCAATGTGTACATGCACTGCAGCAGTTATAAATTATTAAAGTGCAGTACTGGGACAGATAGCCACCTTCTGCAGTATTTTTAACAACGTACTCATACTTGGTTTTTGATTTGTGAACTAATATTACTAGTGAGAAATATGCTTTCTTAACAATTCCACAAATTCATTAAATGTCTTGAATGAATTAGAGGCAGGGGAGAAGTTTATTAATGCAAACTTTTAAGCCAAATTAATAATAAGCATAATCATATTTTATGGAACAGTGACTATGTGCTCAAAACTGTGCAGAGATTTGACTATAAGCGTTTGCTCATTTAATGCACACAGTCCTCCCATGTGGCAGATGACTTCCGCATTTTTGTGGTTAAGGAGTCTGAGCCTTTGATGGCTTCTTACTGGTCTAAGATTTTTCAGTTTGTAAATAAAGAAGCTGAAAATTGAAGCCAAACATCCGAGCTCTTTACTGTGGATGTTCTTCCCATTCATGCCTATATCAACTGTCAAGAGTGTAAGGTGGTTTGATTTCAAGGCCTTTCTTTCTTTTTCCTTTTGTTGTTGTTGTTGTTGTTGTTGTTGTTGTTTTTTGGTTAGGGAGCATAACTGTCTCAGGAAAAGAATCCTAAAACACCGGCTAAATACTGTCCCACAGTCTGTGTCTCCTCATGTAGCCATTCTCAGGTTCTGGGGAGAATACATTTTCTTTTCTTTATTCCTCAGCAAGGATCTCATCAGAAGAGATCCTATCAGGCAGATGGACCAGTGGGTGTCAGCTGCTGAGAAAAGGACAAGGATGAATCATACTTTAAGAAGGGGGACTTTGACTATGCTGCTCCCTACACATTTAAAAGCAAACAAACACAATTAAAAAGGAAATAAAAGCCAACAGAAAAAGCGCTTCGCTACCATGGGTCGCGTCCCCTGGTGTGGGCCATACCCCCGTGCTCAGTGGGGCTGCCGTGTTCCCCAGGCTGCTTCTCTGGCAAGTGCAAACCAAACACACCAGACCCTTAAGGAAACGTTTTTTTAATAGAGCGGAAAGCAGGTCAGTTTTGGCATCTGAATTAAAAGCTATTTCCTGATGTATTAAAGGACTTTAGATGATATTGCCCCAACTGTCCCCCTTGGAAAGGGCCTCACAACATGGACTCCAAATGGAGCATCGAATCTGTAGATAAATGTAAAGATATTTGCTGCATCTAGTTATTAAAATCAATTCATTTACATTTGAATGTCTATAAATATTTAATAGTATAGATTCTGATGTTAATCCATGGGGCTTAATAATGTAAAGTTTTTAATAAGGAAAAGACATTAAGGAAATTGTCATTTGTGATGATAGAGGCCACAGACACTTATATGGCGATAACTTGTGCTTCCAATTAAAATCAAATTATGCAATTAGAAAAAATTGTATTTTCCAGAAATTACCTATAGGTTAACATTATTACTTTCTATTGAATATTGTTGACTCTAGACCAAATGATAGATGTTTTCGTTGTTTGTATTCACCTAAATAGCTTCTGAAATTTGCATGCAGTATTTTTCTTAACCTGGTAAAACATCTCTCCCTTCTCTCATTGCTGTAATGCTCTGAGTTTTTATACCATGAGGGAAATAGGTATCCTAGTCCTGGACCTTGTATCACAGTCCATGCACCATGTATCACAGAATCTGGTGAAACGTACAATTTGTAACACCAACCATGTGAACACAAGAGTTCTAAGACCTCCTGCCTCCTATAAACCATAGGTAGGTTTATTATTTGTACAATATAGTTGGCAATTCCCATGAGACACATAGAGCTCAAATGGTATCATAAATTCCAAAAGTCTAGACTTGACTTAAACAGGACATGGTTGATGACCTCTTTCTACCTTATTCAGTTTCTAGCATCACTGGGAGTTAAATGCTGAAAAAATAGAAGTTTTTTTCAAGTGTTCATATTCAGTAAACATTAGCAAAAACCAGGCTGTCATCATTTTTCATTTACTAAATGTCATTTCAAGTTGAGAGTGAATGTCACGTTTGTACTTTGTTTGATTTATAGGATTTTGGATCGCTATGTTCAGGAGCAAATTCCTGGTGCCAAGGTGGTGGTAGAGTCCATTGGTGCTCGCAGGCATGGGGACGCCTTTTCTCTAGAAGATTATACCAAATGTGACCTGACTGTCTACGCAGTCGACCCCCAGACCAACCGAGCCATAGACAGAAATGAGCTTTTTAAGTAAGTCATTTTATTGTCTGTAACAGCTCCCTGGTGACAGTATCACCCAAATTGTTGTTGAAAGTGAAGTGTAAGCAAAAAAAATCAAAGGCAATACCTAGGGTCCTCATGCCTTGACGTTTTCAGGGCCAGGTGTGGGAGAGAGTGACTTTGGAGGTCAGAAGTTCCATTAGGAGCAAGGGGCAGTCCACAGAGATGACCTCAGACCTCCACTCCTGCTCCCACGCCCTAGCTGTCCGGAGGGGGAGAGCACAGATTCCTTCTTCAGGTATCAGCCTGCGACAATGTTGGTAGGCATGAATTTGAAGAATAAATCTAGCTTTCGTCAAGGTTGAATCAGCAAAAATTAGTCTCTCTCTTTTTTTTTTCCCCTTGACTTGGGAGTGGGGGGCAAAGGGGATAACCCCTTCCACCTCAGTCCATACTTTCCATCTATTTATTTCATCCTGGTGAATTTGAATATTTGAGTTATGAATCCTATAAGTAAAGAAAATGCAGAATTCTAAGCAAAACAGCTGCTATGCGTTCTCCCCTGGAAATCATTTTAGAACAGCTTACCCCTTTGTTGTTGTTAGTTTGAGCTTTGCTTTAGTGACACCTAGTGTCCACCAGACTCTTGGCATGCAATTCTCATTTAAATTGAAATACATTTTTACCTAATAATATATTATTCTAAATATTTATTGGTATTTGTGTATATATATGTACCCAAATCCATAATTTCAGATTTTAGTTTTTCTTTCTCTATATATACTCAAGAGCACTAAATAAATATATGCATATACTAATTTACAAATATATCCATATGTGGCTGCATTTATGTATTCAGCAAATATCTATCTATCTATTAAAACCCATACATTCTGAGTTGAGTCTGTTCTGAATTTAAATCTGTTCTTGAGCAAAGTTTCACTGCTGCTATTTTAGCAACAATGAAATAGTGATTTAATAGCAACTTAATTATAAAAGAGCCATAGTTATTAAGTATGTTATTCATCAACTTAAATTTAATAGCTGTTTGGGCCATGGGCAAGATAGTATGTTAATCACGGTGGGGAGGTAGAGATGACTAAGCAGCAGCGCCCTCTCAAGTTCTAGAACCAACATCCAGATGAAGTAGCATTTTAGATCTATTAAGCCAATTTTTGCATATTGTATTAATTTTAAAATTCATTTAGAAATATACTTTAAAATTACATATATTCTATTGTCATTAACATTTACTTAAAACATCTGCATTATGTGTTTTTACATACATTGGTTTTATTTTTAAATATGATGATAGGTTGTTTGAATTCAGGGTGTTTTCCCTAACTCTGGAAACATCTGTCTTCTTTAGGCTGTTAGTCTAGCTTTAAAGAGTAAAGTAATGATGATCATCATCTGAATTGCACATGTAAACACCTCAGAGGTGAACAGTTTGGAAACTGAAGCCAGTTGGGTTTCAACTGACACTGGGAAGTATAAGATAAACATCCTTCATTCTAAACAAGTTTTCCCAAACCTAGATTATATTGTAAAGAGTAAAGATAGAAATTCAATTGAATAACTATAATAGCCAGGAAAGAAGGGAAAAATCGAGAATAACTGTAAATCAAAATGTTCTGTATTGAAAAGAGGATGGAATGGCCATGAAGTATTAAAGTTTCCCTTAGCAGCTTGAGCTAGTAGCTGAGAGACACTATAATAATATAAGTCTAATATATTATTAGTTAATTATTAATATAGTAACCTAAGACCCAGACTTGTTCCTCAAAACATTTTATAATGAAATTATACAGATATATTTCATAATCCAAGGCTCATAATGCACTGATATTATCTATCCTGTAGTTAGGAGAGCTGTTGAAAATTTAGTTTTTAACACTGAACAAATATACTAGAACATTAAGATTATCACATAACGGAAATAGGATTATATTTTCAACTTCCCTGATCCTAAAACGTAAGCTTTTGAGGATGTTGGAATTTCCGGGCCAAAGAATTAGAAACAAACAAAAAAGGTATTTCCTCAGAGGAGTTCACTTTGATTTTTAAAAACTGATTTAACTATATCAAAACTTTTCTTTAAAAGCTTATGAAAGCATAGAGAAGACTGGAATCACTGTAATGACATGTTAATGACTTTGTTTTACAAGGTTATGAGTATTTTGATTTTTCTTATTTTTGGTTATCTGAATCACTTAGATTTTTTTGCAGTAAATATATATTCCTTTTATCCTGCTTTCATTCTTGCTGTGGTTCTTTGACCTTCTTGAATCTGCATTTTTTGTTTTTGGTTTTTTACGTTGTTTCAATTTCTAGAATATCCTTAGACATTATCTTTCCAAGTATTTCTTATAACCTAGATTCTCTTTCTTCTCATTCTGGGACTCCAATTAAAATTCGTTTTTCTCCACGTTTTTGGATGCTGTCTGTTCTTGTCTTCTTCTCCTTGCCCTCTGTTCTCTTTGTGCTTTCCTTTAGATAATTGCCGTTGCCTTGTTTTCAAGTTCACGGATTCATCTGTTAGCCTGTTGATGCGCGCATTAAAGGAATTCTTCATCCTTATATCTTTAAAAAAAAAAAAAAGCTTCCATTTCCATTTGGTTCTTACGATTCCTACCACTTTATTGAACTTCCCATTGCTTCAAGCATATTGTTTGCTTTCTGCTAGATTCTGTAATACTAAGCAGAGGTGTATCAAAGTCTGTCTGATGTCCCAGCATCTGGGCTGTGTCTGGTCTGGCTCCACTGCTGGGTCTCCCTGCAGGCCCTGGGAACTTCTCTGCATTCTCTTACCCCTCTCATCGGGGCAGACTGTGCCTGCTCACTGCTTGGCTCTTCCCTCACTGTGGACATGCAGCAAGGTGGGTGGGTGGCTCTCTCTTCTCCTTGTCTAGCCTGAGTGCCTGGGATGTGGGCTGAGGCTCTCTCGCTTTTCTCCCCCGTCCTTCCCATGGCAGCTACTCACTACACCATCTTTGTGGTGTGTCTTGGGTGTCAGAGTGTTCCCTGCCCCTCCCGACCAGTAGGAAACCTCTACTCTGTGCAGGGTCTTCGGCCCAAGAGAATGCCTGTTCCTCCTCTACATGGAGTGGATTGTTGCTTATACCTCTTCCCCAGAAGCAGTGGATTTAGCCTGACCCCTAGGGATTGGGATACTTCCTCTCCCTCTTTCTGCAGCTTAAGGCTCTTGCTTTGTAAGGGATACAGGTCCGAAGAATTACAAGGTGCTCCAGCCTTAGCTGCTTGCTCTCTCTAACCCTGCACTAGAAGGGGATTTCTCTCCTGTCTCCAGCCTTGTCCCTAGTTTATCTTATCGGGGCCCTTGGAAAACAGTTTGCAAGTGAGTACAATGCCAACCCCCCTCCTTTGAGTTCATGGATCTCTTATGCCAACTTTGCATGTTGGTACACACTTAGCTTCTAAAAATTTATTAAAATTTTAGCTCATTTGCGGGTGCCTGAGTGGCTCAGTCAGTTGAGCATCTGCCTTCAGCTCAGGTCATGATCTTGGGGTCCTGGGATTGAGCCCAGAGTCTGACTCTGCACTCAGCAGGGAGTCTGCTCCTCCCACTTCTTGTGCTCTCTCTCTCTCAAATGAATAAATCTTTAAAACATTTTAGCTCATTTCTTTTATTTGCTTTTTTGGCCGCCACGTTTTCCTCGTTCTGTGAAAGCTGAAACAGTGCACGGTCTCATGTCCCTGTGGAGGAAACTATCACTCTTTGCCATTTGGCATTTTGCTTGCAAAATTTACAATTTTCGTATTACCTGACTTTTTTGTCATTAGGGTGGGAGTCACAGGCTCTTATGGCTTTCTGCATCCTTAGCAGAAACAAATCATATTGCTTTAAAATAGAACTTAACTAAATATTTGTTTAAAAAAAGCAAATACAGTTTTAGTTCATGCACCTTTTTATACATCCAGCCTGTTTAACATTGTCCAGATGGTAAACGGGAAGTGGAGAAGGTAGGAAGGGCCTGTACACTCTACAAACTGCATTTACAATATAGCGTATAATAACACATTTATTTAAAATAGAATCTGACTACCAAGCTCTTATAAAGCTTCTTTCAAATTCCTAAGACCAGGGGCGAAAAAAAAAAAAAAAAACCATAAAAATTAAGAATAGTGAAAAATTAAATAATGGAAAACTAATATTATACTCTAGTTTACTATAAATAGAGTATGATATATATTAAGGAATATAAAGTAGTCTATAATTTGGAATTGTATAAAGGAAATAGTGGTCTACCCGTGATTTGCTTTATTAAGCAAAACAACCTTATTCAGGTGGAATGGATGTGGGCAGATGTATTAACCATCACTCCCTCTGTATGCCTGTTTCAGAAACCCAGAAACAGGGTATTTACCAGGAAAAGAGGTAGCCACCCCTCTACCATCTAGGTTCAGGGTTTTGTGAAGTACAGAGTGCATACTCCTGCTCACCCTCCCCTTTATCTCTACATTTATATGTACACTGCACTATGATAACCATCAAGGTAAAATGCAGGGTCAGCTGGTGCTTACACACCATACTTTGACAGTCGAGACCCACATGAGTAAACAGAGGCAGGAATGCGTGTTTGCATGTGTTCCATCAGCACAGTGAATCAGAAGACAAGGAATTGGCTTAGGAATTTACTGCATTTCAGTGATTTGGGAGAGCGAGGTTCTTGTCTCACAGAGTCGAAGAATGAATCTCAAGGACAAAGGAGAGTGAGTAAAGTGATAGAAGTTAAGCAAGGATACAGAAAAAGCTCTCAGGAGTGAGAGGGGTCCTGGCCGGGTTGCCACTGAGGGCTTTTAGGGTTGGTCTTTTATAGAAAGTTAACCAGGGAACTTAAATCCTTTTACCACCATAGAGCAGGGACTAGAGGTAACAGCTTCAGCGACTTACTTCCTTTTTAGGGTCGCTAATTTTCTTGGTCACAAGTAGCTGTTAGAACAAGACCCACCTCTGATACCTAGTACAGGATGGTCTGGTTTGTTCCCCGATCTATGGATTCCTTTCATCTACACTTTTGAATTTTGTGAGCCTGATCTTATGGCCCCCTCCCTCTCTCTCCCTACCTAGCCTCACCTGTCCCTCACTCATCAGGAAAACAGAGCAGATCTAACAGATAGATCTCCTTCCTAAGATAAATAAGCAGGGGGCAAAATGGGATCAGTAATAAATACTGAAAAACAAAGTAAAAGAAATAACATCCTGATGACTCAGAGGTAGAATTTATCTCTGTAAATATTCTCCTCCAGAAACCACTGGAAAAGAGTTTAACGTTTTTAATGGAAAGCAAGACCGTATGGGACAGTGAAATGGTATGTGTGTTTGAGGAGCCCTGAATCCTTCCCTGTTTCTGGTGAAAGAACCCCACCAATGCTCTCCACCATGGTGCTGGTGGTGGGGTCTACACTGCCTCCCCCTCAGGACACCAGTCCTCTGCTCACTGCCTGGCTGTGTGTCAGTTAGACACACATAAGGACTCAGAGTCCTTCTTCAAGGACCAACATGGAAGCTAGCTTTGTCCGCAAATCAGAAAAAGTATAAAACAAAAGCCTGAAGATTTGGGGGCCACTTTTTCCACCTTGGTATGGAAAAATCTCCAAACTTGCCCGAAATGAGGAAACATCTGAAAAAGAAATTGGCAACATGAAGTATATACATAAGAAGCTCAGGGCACACTAAGAAAAAGAAGAAAAAAAAAAAAGAATTAAAAGGAGATCAAAATATATTTAGAGGACATTGAAGATACAACCTGACAAGTGTAGGCATCTCTGAGGTAAAACACTTTAGTTGTTATTACAGAAACATAAACTAAAAATATAACGAAAAGACTCCATTACTTTCCCACAGAATCAACGAAAATGTCATGTGTCACTGAAAAGTGTCTGAATATGTTTTAATACCACTGAAACACAAATAAAAGTGACTCGATTATAAAGAAAGAAAAAATTAGCTAAGCCTTAGACATCCCATGTGCACGATAGAATGTCAAAGGCAGTGGGAATCGGATCCACAGTTTTTTAAGGAAAAACGTTGTGACTCAGGAATTCCTACCCAGGCAAACTGTTTTGCATGTAGAAAGCAAAAAGAAGGATATTCTAGACGAGGTATGGGTTCAAAAGCAATCCACTCTTCCATGAAACAATGAGAACATTTACCTAAATTGAGAAATAAACCAAAGTAAATATCAAAATAAAGGAGCTCTTGGAATGGAAAAAGACTAAGGAATATTCCCTCAGCTGATGGGATGTCAAATGCAAGAATCCTGTAGAAATGGGTCCATCTGGTGGATGCCGCATGATAGGAGTGAATTCTTCCCCCATACTAATGATCTACCTCTATTTCTGATTCTTCCCAGTTTCTAATACTGTTTTCTTGCAACAGAACTCAATCTATACTTTATTTGGAACTTCTTACCTTATCTAATAAACAATTCAAACAAAATGTGGTACCATTCTATTCTAGCACTTGGAACCATGGTTCAGTCTTTATTATATTTTTTAACAGACCTAAAAATAACCTAGGAAAAACGCTATAAAAGTATATTTTATATCTACAAAAGCATATTTGTAAAAAACAAAAAACAAAAAAAACAAAACAAAAATTCTAACTGCCTTATATTACCATATGAAAACTTGAGTAAAAACATGTGCACCTTTCAAACTAAAATTGAGTTATCCAAGCCATTGCATTTCTTAAATGGCAAGTCTAATAACTATCCAGTGGAATTCGTATCTGATATGGGTCATCTCTTTATTTTTTCCATAAGGAAGCTATGAACACTGTGCAGCAGATATAGAGTCAGCATGATCATTCAGAAAATTAAAAAATCTCAAAAGGGATAAAATAGACTGTAAGATGAACAAGCATGGGGCACTTTGTTATCATGGGATGGGTGAAATTTGAGGCCATTTAAAAATTTTTTTCCCATTTCTTTGTGTTTTCCACATTTTCAACATAAGTGTGGAGGCTTATATTATGCAATATATTTCTAAAATAATAGTTTTCACTTTGTATATGCTGTGTAATTATGAGAATAAAATATATTTTTAAGAAAGTTTCAATTTGGATATACCAAAATGTGAGCAGCCTCTGTGTTGGGGGCCTATGAGTAATTTTGCTTTTTGGAAAGTTCTGTGCTTTCCAATATTCTATAGTTAAGACATTTGATTTTTATAGACGAACATCTTTAAAAATTCAAAAACAAAAATACCTAAGACATGGTGTGGCTTTCTGCTATTAAAAACACAACTGTTACATCAACATTGTAGTATTTATAAGGGATTGTGCAAATGTTCCCAAGGAATTTTGAAAAAAACTATTACCTGCTAATTACAACATAAAATATGTCACAAAATCATTCAATCCAATAAAATTAAGTAACAATTATTCCTTGATTACCCGCCCCCCAATGCGATGCCCACAGTAGGAACTGCGTTATTTAGAGGAAGAGTTTGTAAGAACTGTTGGCTTAAATTAGCTAATTCCTGTCGTCCTGACTGATTTGCTATCTGCATCATTCATAATAGTGTTCTCTGTCTAGACAGGAAACACCTTTTAATTTGTTCACCTCTTGCCCATAAAATGTCATTTTAAAGGTTTGGAATTTGAAAGTGTCGACATACAAGACAAATGGAGATTTTGGAGCCTGAAGGCTTGGGTTGGTCTCTCAGATCCGTGGCCCTAACTGTGTAGCTTTCTGGCCTGCAGTAAATTAGCATTATAACATTCTGTGCTACGGGATCATTGGGGACCCAAGCAGACAAAATGCAGGATGTAATTTTAAACTCTGCTATATGTAATTTAGAATATTTATTCACCTGAATAACTTAATAATGTATATAATTTCAAGAGTGATATTAAGTTCAGTGGTGTTGGTAATTATTTTTCTCAAGTCTGTGAGCATATTAAGTAAGGGTCATTGTTATTAATATCTGTGTTATGTGTCTATTGGTGGTAGTTGCTCTTCTTCATTGCTCTTTTTATATATATATTTTTTAATTCATAAGACTCAGCTTGTGTTTCAATTAAAGAAAATATTCAAAGTTATCACAAATTTATTTTTAAAAAGTTTAGTATTTAATAAAAATAGTAAGATACTACAAAATTATCTTCTTTAAAATATTTTTAATAGTTTACAAAAATATTTTTAAAGAAAATACTAAAAGATATTACAAAAATCTGTTTAAAAAAAGAACTTTTTTTCTGTTAACATCACTGACTTCACTATTTATCTAACAATAAAGATTTCTGGATGGCAAACTGCTTGATATCAATAAAGACTTCCAGCCGCATTACGGGGAAGGAGGACGCATTTTGGAGATCCGCACTCCAGAGGCAGTGACCAGCATTAAAAAACGAGGAGAAAGTCTGGGCTACACGGAAGGGGCCTTGCTGGCACTCGCCTTCATCATCATCCTCTGCTGTATTCCTGCCATTTTGGTGGTTCTGGTCAGCTACAGACAGTAAGTACCCCTCGATCAGAACATGGGATCATAGAAAAGCCACCCCTGGGGACATGGCTTTGGAGTCCCAAAACAGGAATGGTGCACACATTTCGGGGACTGCTGTATCCTTCTTTCACCCAATGGCCTTCCTTTAAGGGAAATCAAAACAAACTTCCAGCATTTCCCACAGAGTACTCATTGTTCCCGTGCTCCTAATATGTTCTCCTCCGATAGGACTGTTAGGTTAGCTCCTGTGGCTATGTTCGTGCTCTTAGGTTCCAAGCCTCAGGAGGGAAGGTAGCAGGGATCCTAGGGAGTGTCATATGCAGTGGAATGACATGCACAGATATCCCTGGTCCCGAGGAGGGTCTGCGACCTAACCACATGGCCGCGACAGCATTGTATCCATGTTGTTAAATTTGCATCTGTGTTGGCAAAATCACTTAAAAATCATGGTATGCCATAGGTCATTTTCCATGGGGGTTTTTCCTTCCTGGGTAGCCCTGTGAGAACCTATATTGTAACATACGACCAGGATATTTTGGCTGTGGAGGCCTTCCATTTTTCTCGTTCCTACGGGCAAATGTTTCCATTTAAAATATCTATATTTGTCTTATTTAGGCCCTTCGAAGTAGTGAAGTAATTACAGCTAATGTGAGCATCTGTACTCGAAGTCATCTAGTAAGCTATTCTTTATTTGACACTAGGTGTGGGGAACCTTTGTGATAGAGGTCTAGGCATTTAAAACATATTGATAATGATTGGTGAAAAGAGTTCCGGAATAGGTTAAGAAGAGTGGTGGCCCTAAGGGTACCCCAAAATGCAAATAAATAACAGGGATCTCCAGTCATATGAATTAGGGACATAACACAGAGGAAGGAATAATGGCAGAACTGTCCTTCATCATTTAAAATACTTACAGGAAGGACTCAACCAGCACTTACATATTCTTAAACTGCTGTCTTTGTTCTCGAACACTGAGAATTTTCTTTTGAATTAAATCAAGCAAGGTAATTCCAACCTAAAAATTGAAAAGTAGGCTCTGCATGAAGATGCCATAGGGATATCTTTCATCACAAAAGCAATGTGAAGTTGCAAATACAACATTTAGGTTGATATATTGGAGTCTGAAGTATCCTTAACAAATCAATTGATACACCAAATCTAAAGCCTATGAACCAACTTAAGAGTGGACAAATGTTTTAAATTTTTAAGCCGTCAAGCCAGTATTAATTTTCATGTTAAATCTAGTCTGTCTTACAGTTATTCTTGTTCATTGCATTGCTTCCCAAAGGGATCCTGTAGCAAGAAAACCAGGGAGGAAACCTCTTATATTTGACACACAATGCAGTGAACAAAACTGAAGCATCCTAGACATTATACTCAGTGGTCTGAAATTTAACAAACCACTAAGATGCTTAGCATTTAAATATGTTGTAAATGATTTAATTTTTTTTTAGTTCAGTAATCAGATCGACACTATGAATTCATTTTAGTTATAGCTTTTTGTAAACTAACAGAATTAAACTAAATGAGGTTTGCACTGCTCATCTTTCAAAGTAACATTCTAATATTTACACATCTAACGTTCATATTTTTATATTCTGCTTATAAGAAAGACTGGATGGATGGCTATTCTTTCGTATTAACATTCGTTTTTGAAATTCACTATACACAGAAAAGTTAAGGGGCAAATATGGAAAGAAAGTGCCATGGATTCATGACCTGGGAGGGGCACCTTCCAACCTCTGCTGCAAAGAGAAGCCCAGGGTATAATCCGGGCTTGTTGCCTGACTCCAACCCTGTAACACACCCAGGGCGCTGAGAAGCCGATTACAACGATCATCTTTACTATTCCATTTCTCCATCAGAGTTCAAATTCATGTCTCCATGTTTTCATCTAGTTTTTTTTTTTTTTTTTTTGCTCCATTTAGTTCATTTCTTTGTTTCCCTGTAATGAATGTTTTCACAGCTTCTGTAATGTTGCCAGTGATAATAAAGTGCTCCCACATTCTGACTTTCTGAATGGAGATACTTAGTTTCCCTGCTGTGTCATTAAGTCTGTGTCATTATGAGTTTAACCGGTAAATTATTCATCATGCAGAATAAATCAGATGTTAAAATATTATGAATGCAGCACTTCTAATGTAAATTTCTCTCTTTTTTACTCATTGCTTTTCAAAACAGGTTTAAAGTGTAAGTATAATTAACATCTTGCATATGATTTTACATACTATGAAAAGAAAAACCCCAGATACTCCTTGTATCTATCTGCAGGAGGTGTATACTTTTTAGTTCAAATTCTCTTGTGCTTTTGTATATACAGAAGAAAGGCATTTTGCTCTGATAGCTTCCACACTTTGAGATCTTGGTTTTGAGGAAGGAACTAACCGTTGGTGTCCAGGACATTCAGAAAGGGCTGCAAAGCTCTAAGGATAGAATCCCGGGTGTCCTAGGTATCCAAAGGAAACCAAAGCTAGCCATCCCCCTCCTCTTTAGGAGAGAGATCCTCTGTAAACTACACAACCTCTATCAACGAATGTCAAAAATGTTTCAAATCATTTTAAGCAAAATAACTCTTCTTTAAACAGATGGACGATGAAAGATAAAGAAAAATTATGTATCTTGAACATTATGCATCTTCAGCATTGCTTCCAATTATGAGATCCATTGAATAACCACCAATTATTAATCACATTTTTATAGATAGCTTGCCCCCACCTTTAATATTACTATTTCACTTAACTTGCATATATTTCTACTGAATTCTACCCGTTATTCAAGGGTAAATCTTTTAAAGAACTGAAGGGGAAGAGGATATAGGAGAAAGATACTCTGTGGGGATGCTTTTATAATTCTGTCAGTTTATAAGTTCGAATATTTGTGTTCCTGATGTTTTTAGTGGGTTCGTATGCTAACGGATACATACATGATTTCTAAAATGAGTTTTCCAAAACATCCTTGCCTTATTCAAGCCGCCAAGCTGAGTGCACCAAGACAGCGCGAATCCAGTCGGCCTTACCTGCGGCCAAGCCCGCGGCGCCCGCACCAGCACCCGTGGCCGTGCCCCCGCCGCCCCCGCCTCCCCCTGGGGCGCACCTGTACGAGGAGCTGGGGGACAGCACCATGTAAGTAGGCCTTGCAGCTGCCCTGACAGGTGGGTGTGATGGATGCTGGGGGGTATTTCATTTCAACCTGATGCGGAAATGCAGGTTACTTGAATTACGACATTTTTCTTAGAAAAAAAAAAAATTGTTAAGATGAGAACCTAAGAAAAGTTGAACTGAAAAATAATAACCAAAACATAAGCAAACAAAAACCATTAAAAACTGAGTAAGACAAAATGTGCAGATGTCTAGCTTGAATAGTCTATTTAATCTGGAACCCTTCACAATTATGCAGATACATTTTTTTCTCCAAAATTAAAAATACATTCTGAATTTTTTTTTCTCATAGGAAATAAGGAAAAATAAAGCATAATCATAAAATAGTAATTCCTGATTTGGTATCAAAAGCCAACTCCTATTCGGTAGTTTAAAACTGATGTTATGGTTTAAATCATAGACTTTTTAAAGATACTATCTTAGGATATCATAAGACAGAGTAATGAAAATCTGAAACCTGAATGAAGAATTAAATATTAAATATCCAACCACTTAAAGAATATGTTTTTCATTATATTCCTCTCAAAAGAGACTACTGTGATAGCTTAGTATTTTTCCCACAATATTTAGAACCTCTAAGCATTATCAAATCATCCACATTTGAAAAACATTTAAATTATTGTGAAAAGACTTCACAGATATTCCCATAATGATGCTACCCTTATAACCTGATTCCTTTTGGAGTTATTTAACTTGCCTGTGTTTTAAAAATTAAAGAGTAACTATTTTTGGACATGACATGCACAACAACAAATGATGTTATAAAACTTTGAATATGACTGAATTAAATCCAAGATACCTTTTAGCAACTGGAATTTGGTGGAGCTGAGGGACTAAAACACATTGGACTGTGTTACATTTGTAGCATTTACTAGTAGGAATAAAGCAAGCCTCAAAAATTATGAAATTTACCTTTTAATGGGAAAACTGGTTTTAACCACATGTATCAATATTCTTTGCCATATTAATACTACTATACAAGGTGATGTTAAGAAGTTTTAAAAATGTTAAAATTGATTTTTATGTTGTATATCTTAATGCTAAAATTGAATTTAATGTTTGAGACCTTAGTGCTTGGCATTTTATTTCTAAAATAATATGATACAGGATTCATGCTTTTAAATACAGTTTTTAAATTTTTTTAATGAGTTGAAAACGATGGTCTCTTTTTGAATTACTGGTGAATGTAGGAATTGAGCCAATATGATTTGATTCTCTCTATATTAACCACCTCTCTCCAGCAAAAAAATACTCAGAAACTAAACAAGACTTAGGTGTAAAGTTTTGTTTTATCTGAAAATAGTGACATATATTCATTTTTACTTAACAAAAGTAGATATACTGTAACATCATCTGGAATCAATATAGTTTGATGGTGACCATTTTCAAATAGCAACACTTAAGGACTACTTTTATTTGAAAAATTGTGGTAGACTTAGAGAATTTTGCAATTATAATACGCATTTAATGAAGTATTTTGAGTTCTGCACATTTAAATATCTTTAACAAATGTTTAACCTATCTATTTAAAAACTTTATACCGGGATTCTAACCATATATTACTAGAAAACAGACTAGCTCCAAAAGAATTATTATCAAAATAAAAGAAAAAAAAAATCAAAGGTCCTTTTTGAAAAAAACCTTAATGATCTAATTAATAACATCATACAGATTCATCAGTTGCTCTGTAATAGTCATCACAGAACTTGTATATTTACTTTGTTCCAAACAGTATCAATACCTTCTTTATAAATCAGTGTGGACTAATTTTTCAATTAGGACATAGAAATAATTCTCAGAATCTCATTTAAAATATCTCCTTTGGGATTGAAATCAACCATGTGTATTGAAGGTGAATTTTACCTAGGTATAGGAAACGGACAGCTAGCTATTTTAAGTGATGAGACAACCAAAGGAATGCCATATGGTTTTGTCTAAAATATTATTACATATCATTCTTACGAGTAAATACAAAGAAAATACAAAAACATGCATTTTCTTTTCTGGATATACCTATCAAATGTTTAAATCAAGTTCCTGTTAGTATTTTCATAATCACCTCAAATTAACTATAGTTCAAACTCTTTTTTTTTTTTTTTTCTGTTGCATGTTTTCTCTTTCCCACCTGTGGATACATAGGCATAAGTAAGTAAATAATATCATTCTAATACGAGGCATTAGGGAAAAAAGATACAAGAGAATAGATTAAGTTTTACTCTAAATATAGTAATCTTCATCTTTTACCATGGAGTCATTTGCCTTTTAAAAAGAAAGTTCTACCTTCCATACCTCATTCCCTTTTGGTGTCTTGAAACTGTGCCTCCCAAGAAGTGTATCAAAATTCTCGCTTTTAATTTGTTAAAAGTATTTCAAGGTGTCTCTCAATCAAAAGTGATGCAGTCCCATTATATAGATAGTTCTTTCCAAGAAGAATTAAACCAAGAAGAAATCTATTTTTAAAAAATTGCCAAATAATGTGTCAAGTCCATTTATTTAAAAAAAAAATGACTTTGCAAGATCAGGAGAAGGGTTTGATGTCTGCTTAATCCAAATTGTCTGTCCTTCCTGAATTATCCAGGTGGGCCTGATACCCCAAGTCCACTTGTGAGGATTGTCCCTTTGTAGTTTGTATCTTTGTGAAATGACTCAGTAACAACTTCAGCTTTATATAGCATTTTATTGCCTCACCTGCCATTCTCCTTTTTCCTTGTGGCCACGTAAATTTTTATTCACAGTATTTCCTTTTATTTCATTCCTGCTGTGTGGGTAAATATTAAACAATAATCAAGAAAATGTTACTCTGTTTGAGCTTGAGAGCAAAATCTGAGGAGAGACTATTGAAAACCAGCCAGCCTTGCTGGGAGAAAGGTCCTGATGCTTTCATTACAGACACTTGCTTATGTCCTTTCACTTGGTTGACTTATTTATCACTCTCAGCCACTGAAGCTCAGTGTCAGTGTATGAGCCACTCTTCCAGGGATATCGAAACTATGTAATTTGAACATAAGTCTTTTCATTAAAGTTGGTCTTGACCAAAATTTGATGCAGACCATATTCAAAATCCATACCAATAGCCCCTCTTCTTATTTGTACTGTTTATAGCATTTTAAAATGGATTCAGCTTAAAATTGAAATGGGAGGGAATAACCTCTGTCCAGATTCTAGCATAACTCCAATTTCTCCATTGTGATTTTGAACTGAACTCTATGAGAGAAATTCTCCCACCTGTCCTTGGAGACTTTAATTCTCTAATTTAGGAAATAGAGAATTCCTTTGTGTATTCTCTTCTAAGCTTTATCTCAGATAGGAGAGTACTTTTAGCTCCAGGACAGAATGACTGAGAGGAGAGATAATGTTACTGAATCAGATACAGCTAAGGATCCTTTTCCCCCCCGAACAGTCTGCTCTGAGCACCCTCAGCCAAAGCAAAGGATATGAAACCATTAGCCAAAATGCTGGCTTGCAATTTGGAGAATCATGATTTCTGCATAAGGGAACTGTTACGTGTGGTCATGGATACTTTGCTGTATCTAACTGGGGGAAAAAAAAAGTCAGTCTACAGATTGAAGCATTTTTCTAAAGAAAGAAAAATGAAAATTTCTCATGCTACTCACAGCTCTCAAGCTTTTCTTGCCCTACCTTTCTGAGAACAGGGACATGAAAGTAATGTCTGGCTTCCGTAGATTAGTGTTATTCGGCCTTTTATATTTTGAAGTCATAATGAGAACCATAAAGACATCTTTCTCGTGAAAGCTATGTCACAACCTGTTTCCTTACATTTCATTATCTTCTTTTCTTTCAAGTCTTTTCCTTCTCTACCATTTCCAACAAAGCAGGGGAAATAAGTCAGTCTTGGAAGACAGGAAAAGCCCCCACACTGTGATGCCCTTTTCTTCTTCCAGCACTATTGAGACTCACAAGCAGGCTCATGTAGATGGATCCCTTAAGAACAACCAGCCCAAGTCGGCAAGAAAATACACCCTGACATCTGATGAGGACACCTTAAGTATCCACAGTACTCTTTATAAGGAAACTCTAGATCCAAGACCAACAAATTCAGACTTTTTACTAAGAACAGATTTTATAGACTCATTTTTACCCAGAACACAAGCCCGGAGTAAGTCCCTGAGGGGCCCAAGAGAAATGTTTCAGAGGATGTGGAATCAGCCGGTCCACTTCCCTCAGAGACCAGTGTGGGAACTTCCCAGGGGACCAGAAACCATAGAGCTGGAGCAATGGCAAAGCCACAGGCAGGAAGGTGCAGAGGAAACCACAGAGACCCTTCCAAACAAAAGAGGTAGCAGTAATCCCCTGCCTCCAGTTGGAGATTCGAATGTTGCCAAGAGAGGAGAAACAAGGCACGGTGAACCACTGCTCATACGTGGAGCAGAGCCCTTGGAATCTCTGTCTTCAGACTCCTCATGTTGCTCTTCTTCACCTGAGTCCTCCTCCTCCACTTTGCTGACTGTTTCAAGAACTGTGGAACTCCAGTCCGAACCTGGTATCATCCTTTCTCCTGCTGACTGTTCCTTGGAACTTTCTCCTTCAGTGCCCTGCATTTTAAACTCCCCCGTCTTTAGGAGAGAGACACCCACATGTATGTTGACAGTTGAAACCAGAAGGAACATTTTTGAAATGCTTCCCAAACCACCAAATATCTCCCCTCTTCCTCCCCCTCCTCCACTTTTTCCACTTTCCACCCCCCCTTCTTCTCCCTCTTCTTCTCCTTCACCTCTTCTACCTTCACTCGCCTCCCTCCCTCCCCCATCCCCCCCTCTTCCCTCTCCTCTGTCTCCTCCAACTTGGGCTCCGTCCATTACGTGTGTCTGTGTACCCGTTGTTAAGCACACTGTCAGTGTGACACCCGCCGAGGAAATCGAGCCCTCTGTCCCACAGCCACCAGCACCCGCAACAGTGTGTCGTGCAGATCCCCAGAGAGAACCAAAGGGCATCCTCAAGCATATTAAAAACTTAGCCGACCTTGAAAAGTCGGTAGCTAACATGTACAGTCAGATCGAAAAAAACTTTCCACCAACACACAACTCAAGACTTGGAAGTAGTTGTCCTCCAGAGACAGAAAGTGTGGAAGTCACTGAACACGACCAGGGGAGTTTGCACAGTATTGTCGAGGACCCTGAGAACCCACCTCACAGTCAGTCTGCCTCACTGTAATGCTCTTCCTCTTTTAACTGGACAACTCTTCTGTTGACTGAAATCTTCGAGAGGAGGCAAATTTGAACGATTAAAGAAGATTCCGTTCTTTTACCCTAAACTCAGTGCAATGCTGTTTTTTTCCTCATTTTTTTTTTACTTTTAAAGATTATTAACCTCATCTTTTCTAACTCATATTATAGATTTACCTTAATTTTCTTAACTACGAAGTAGCATTGTTTGTCTGCATTTATTTAAAAAGTAAGTAATTTCAATCTATTTTTCAATGGGAATATGTGGGCAAGAAAGTTCGATCTCCAGGTTAAACCAATGGCTTGTTAGCATGTTAATGCAGTAATGCCTACGTTTACTTTCTGATCATAGTTTTATTGAGTGCTTCAGAAAAAAAAGCAAACTGTTAAAATAATCTAAAAAAAATGATATCATAGGTTCTGTTCTTTCCTTGAAGGCCATGTATTTGGTAAGTTTAAACACTACCAAAGTAAAAATGTTATGTATCTAGAAATGTAGGATTTGACAGATATTATGGTATTCCAAAATAAATCCCAGGTGCTGTAAGATGTAGTCATTTGTTTTCTTACAAGAACATTCTCTATTCTGGCTTGCTTTTATCTTACTAGTATGCTTATACATTTGAAAAATCTTTTACTTTTTCAATTATGGTCTTACTCTGTTTATTTCTCATTATGTTTTTTCTTCCCTTTATAATGAAAATAAATCGTGTTGGCTTTTGTAAGACATTTCATTTTTCCCACAGATGTTTAAAGTGGTCTTCAGTTTTGCTTGTTCACATTTTGGTATCATCTCATAATGTGATATCATCTCATAATTTTATCAGAAGATTCTCCTTCAAAGAAAATATTTTTCTCCAGTTTAATAGTTTAATAAAGAAATTCTAATCAGTTTCATCAAAATAAGTTTCAATAAATGTCTACGAAGGTTTATCTACTATGAATTTAGTTACTATTTGAAAATTTAAAATATTTTTATTAAGTTTATCAATAATGTTTGTCTATCAAAATTTTAGAAAAGTATATTAGCTTCATTTCTAGTTATCTTTTTTTAAAGATTATATTTATTTATCTGAGAGGGAGAGACAGAGATAGCAAGAGATAGTGAGAGATAGCAAGAGATAGAGAACAAGCAGGGAGGAGAGGGAGAAGCAGGCTTCCTGCTGAGCAGGGAGCCTGACTACGGCTCGATCCCAGGGCCCTGAGATCATGACCTGAGCCGAGGCAGGGGCTCAACCGACTGAGCCACCCAGGCGCCCCGAATAGTTACCTTTCATTACTCTGGATAAATCATCCAAATTTAGTCGTACAAATAAAATATAAACACATTAAATAGAAATCAAGAAGGAATATATCTAGTGAACTGTCATCAGTTTTATATAAGCCTTTACTCTTTGTATTAGGCAAATAGGATAAAAATGTATACTTCAGAAAGAAATTTTATGTTGTAGTTGTTCTCAGAACTCAGCTCGGCAAAGTCTTAAAAGCATCAGCTCAGCTAAGTGCTATCTTCTTAATGAAAGCTGCACTTGACCAGCAAGTAATTACACGGTTTTCCCATATAACACATGGAATGAATTTTATTTGTAATTTCCCACTTTGAATACAAGTGTAATTATTTGATTTATTCTGCAGTTTTAATATTGTAGAAGATAAAAGTCTACACAGGAAAACAAAGCACAATTTCAAAATATAGGCAAAAGCCTTGCTTGATCATTTCCACTGTAAGTGTATTAATATAGGCTCAGGGCCCTATAATGCATCATTCCAAAGGTTTTGTTCAGCTCTTACATTATGTGACATTCCTTCAAGTATTTGGTCTGTCATCCCTAATAGTATCAGATTTTTTAAAAAAGCTATAAATCTAATGATTTTCATTAGCTCCTCTGATTCAGATTCTTTTCATCCAAATCAAGAGTAATTTTCTTCTTGGGGTTCTTGAACATGATTTTTTTCTGTCTTTCACTGAAACACTTCAGTTGGAGTTTTTGTTGGCAGCCAGTTATATGCATGAGAACTTGTGCTATTTGGCGGACTCTGACAAGGTATTATTCATGAGTGTGTAAGCCTTTGATATGACTGTGTGTTTTTAAAAACTATTTTGTATCGACTTCTTGGATATGTGAAAGAAATTCCTTGATAATGTATTCTCTAAATAATTACAAAGAAATATAAAAACTCCAAATATCAATTTTATGTAGGTATCTACGGCCTTATAAAATTTACTTAGTCTAAATGTTTTACTAGTATCTTAGGCTTTTCAAATGAAACATCCATTCCCATGTTTTATATTTAATCTAGTTTTTTACTTACACATTCTGTTTAGAGATCTCTTACTTCATCAGCATGAGACCTATAAATAATTCTTTGAGTACACAGGCCAAAATATTATTACTCTTCTCAATCCCTGAGCCCCCACAACCTGACAGCCAACCTCCAGAAAAAGAACACCATTTTTTTTCTTCTGCATTCATTATGTGCTAATTAGTGTGTAAGAAATTATTAGATACCTTTTTAAAAGACAAAAGTAGGTTACCATACATTTTCCTTATTGTTAAAAGTAAGCTTAATGCATAAAAAACGTGGGAAGTGAATAACTAATACACACTGGATATAATCTACATAAAAATGCATCAGTATTATATGACTGGTCTTAGAAGGATGAACAGGAAGTCGTGTTAATTGAAAGCCCACAGACAATGATACACAGTGATTCTGTTGTGTGCTTTTTCCAAGTCACATTCTGCCTTTGAGCTGAGACAAACAGTACAAATAACCACATGAAAGATAACCAAAAGTTACTTGTTAACTAAAAGTTAACTAAAAACAGTGTAGCTCATCTCTTGATACTTTATTTTCTACATGTAGGGAAAAGGCTGCTAATGAAAAAAGTCAGCTTAAATATCCTGGAGAAGGAAGTCCAGCTTTGGTTGGACACTTTATATCACGTATGTGACTCAATTCTCATTACTAAAACCAGAGTATGAGCTGTCATTATCTGTTCTCTGAAAGATACAAATTGAGGAAACTTCTAAATGCTTTAGAAGGATTATCATTCTCATAACTATTGGCAGAATCATAGAAGCAAAACTCACTAAAGAACCATTTCAAATAATGAATTGCCAATAAAATTAAGTGAGCATTATACTACCATTATGACCAACCATTTCAATCAGTAATGCCTTAAGCACTTAAGATTTGTTCAGATAAGTAGACTTATTTTGTCAAGGCCTTGTAATATTTTAAAGAAATTCTCTAGAGAGATCGTTTTGTTGGACTTTAAAGTTATGTGTCTCTACATAGCAGTTACTAGCTTTGTACACTTGGTTCATAAAAGCATACAATATGTAACAGTACTTTAGGTCAACTGTAAATAATAGACGAAAAAAATCGTTATAATTAATGACATTCAACACTAAAAGCATTGTATACTTCCCCCCCCCCTCAAGTACAGTGGAACATTTCCCCAACTTGTGGTCCATGAACTTTATAAATCTGTATGGTAATACTGAATATGAAATGAAAATGAAAGTATTCAGCTCTTATGTCTCATAATGTCATTGACCCTTAAAGCTAGTCAGTATTCTGCATTCATTATTTTTAGAATAAATTGATGCAAACAGACAAAAAAACATCTTACCAACGTTTGGAAGAATATATTCTAGGCATCGAGGTCATTTTTATCCTGTATCGATATGCTCTTCATGTATAAAACACATCTTTTCCCCAATGAGTATCTTATATGTACCAAGACTTGTCTAGGTTAGAGATGATATAGAATATTTTTAATCCAGTTGATAATAAGAGAGTCAAAGTGTGTTATTATACACCACTGAGATAAAATAGATTGTGTAAGGTGTGCTGTTGGTGCAGCGTGAGAGTCTGTTTTAGTAATGCAGGCATGAAAACTCGATGCTCCTGTCCTCATAAACTGCCACAGAATGTATTTCTCACTGAGACAATTTTTAGTAAAAATTACCTTATTTTTTCCCAGATTAAAAAAAAAAAAAGCCCTTATCTATAATTTCATTTAATCTGAAACTCTAAGTTGTTTAATACTGATTTCTTTGTTTCTGCCTTGCAGGAGAGGTTATGCATCAGAGGTAAGGGCTTTATGGTGTTATATAAAGCTTACTAGGAAAATATTTGCTTTATAGGTAGGACTGATTTTCATTCTTTCATAGGTAGGGTATTTTCCTTTATTTCAATAAAACTTATAAGTATGCTCTGCTATTTATTGTCTTTTGTACCTGTTGCTGGTTTGTTCTGGGGTTTTAAGTGGGTGAACAAATATCAAATGCTCCCCTTTCCAAGGATAAATATATTGTTTCCTGAATTGCTATTACTCAGTATTGTGACATTCGCCCAGATTTTTTTTTTTTTTTCCTAAGGCTAGAAACTTACTCTAGCAACCTGGGACTTTTGTCCCTTTTACCAGAGTCCAAAGCTCCTTCCTAACACATGAGAGCTTAAGACCTTAAAGAGTTTTCAAGAGTCAGACTATGAGAAATCTCTGGCTTCTCCATCGTGTTCATGTGACTCTTGGGTCTATGGAGAAGGTGGTGGATGTTCTAGCCAGTGGGATTTGGCCCAGCTGTCCTGAAAGTGGTGCTGTGGCTGAGTTGAGCAGACGGCTTCCCAGTCAAGACAGTGAAGTGAGCTCACGACCCAACTGGCCACTAGTTTAGAATGAACAAGTCCTAATGTATTTGGAAATCCAGAAGAATGCATTTAAGAATAACTGGTTTTCAGGGACAGGTGTCATAGCTAACAGATTGGATCAGACTATCTCTACCTTCAACTTCCTACTCCTTTAAAGGAATACCTTAACTAGACAAAGTCACTCACAGCCGTGTCATGGACAATTGATCCTCCCTTCAGTCACATGGTTGTTCTCCTGGCCATTTCCAATGGCTGGTTTGCCACTGGAATGGTCTGCTGGAATTTCAATGCCCACGTTCCCAGTGTCATTCCCATGTAAGATTTGTGTTGTGTAACCATTCCCTCAAGGAGTGGATAAACCAAAACTTGAACTGTCTCTCTTGTTCCCATGTGTTTAAAGGGTAAATTATCAGGAAACAGACCAACAGACACCATGTTTCCTTTGAGTGTGGGTGAGGCTGAGAGGCAGTAAGGAGTGATCCCTGCAAAATCCAAGGAAGGACAATTTCCCCGATCACAAAAGAATTTCCAAAATCATGCTCAATGCTTGACTGTAAGCAGCCCAGGTTTTGGTAAAAAGACAAGTGGGGAGCATTTCTTAAATATGACGATGAGTATGTTATGACTGTATCATTATGTTATGCGCTCTACCCTTCTCAGTAATGAACCTGATTACACTTGATGTGACTGGGGAGGAAAAAAAGGGGGCAATTTAAAACAGAGTTAAGTTTGTTCAAAAGGATCCTGTGGCACTTGAAATGCTTTTAAAATTGTAAATAACTTTTTACCTGAAAAAGTTTGAACCAAAAAGTTATACAGGTTTTCATTTATTAAAGGTTATTAACTTCGATGTTAATTAAAACAATGATGAAATGCAAACTAATTCTTTATTTCACATTCCAACATCAATAGTCAAAATATTGGTGGCTATCACAGGAATAATAACTCATAATTCCAAGGTAACCAGTTTTAAGCTGTGGCCTTTTTTTTTCTCTCTTTTCAATCATGATCTCCCTTTTCCACTGGAAATATTTTCTAAACCTTTTTCTATTTTAATTTCCTTTGGCAGCAACAGCAACTCCTGAGGCCTTCTCTTCTTAAACCAGAGGTATCAATTTCCTTTTTCTTTTCGACCTTGCTGAGTCACCACAATATTTTATGTAACGTTAAGGCCCGTCCTACACGCAGCAGAGCGTAATCACATGGCATGATTTTATAAGACAGAGAAGGGGTGGTTTAAAGTGGAAACAAATACATAAGTAAGCAAGCAAATCACTTCTCTCTTGCTTGCGGGAGCTGAAATTCCAAATTTTTAGCTTCATTCTCTAGGAGTTAGACAAATAAGACCTTTGCTCCTATTGAAAGCAAGCTATCATTGAATGAGACAAATTATGAACCAGATCAGTCACTTGAATTAGTGGATCTAGATTCATCAGAACCATTCCTGAGATGAGCTTTGGAATAGGCAGTGTTTGAGGAAAGAAAGCTGGTGTCGGCACTGAAATATGTGATAAATAGTCTTTAATCATGTGATTGAAAATATACAGCCTTGGGCACATGTCTACTTCAAAGTGCCTGTGACATTTTCTTCTGCAATGAGGAAAAGATATTCAGAATTATATAATAAATGCATATAATTCATACTTATGCTCATACGCTAATTTTTTAAAAAATGTAAATTTTAAATGTCTCTTCCTTTTGGCAGATTTAGTATTTTGTAAGTTCCACTTAAAAATTATTCGTTGTATTTCTAAAAAAAAAATAACAGAATCTTAATTTTATTAGAGAGAGGGATTTTGTGATAAGAATTTATTCTCCAAAATTTGGAGGTTGATGGGTAGGGATATTCAGATTTTATAAAGTTTTAGCAAAAATTTCTGTTTAGGCATAGGCATAGACTATTGAATCAGATAAGTTGAACTTAAAATCCAAATGCCAATTCCTGGATGCAAGACTTTGGTCAAGATATGCACCCTCTTGAGTAGCATTTTCATCTTTTATAAAATCTTGGCAGTCATATTTAGTGTATAAGCTCCTACCACAGCAACTGGAGCATGGTAGGAAGAAATTCTGTAACTGGTACTCATGTTGTTGTTGTTGTTTGCATTGCATATATGTTTATTCTTTGTCAGATACTAAATCTTGGCTTATATTGAACACCACATCAAAAACTAATGTTCTATACATTGGCTAACTGAACTTAATAATAATAAAAAAATCGTGGCTTCTCTGTGGGGTCAGCAAAAATATGTGGCAACAGGGACTGAATGGAGCAGCAGGGGAATCTTAATAGTTACCATGTGCTTCCTCCATTGATTTATCTTTTTCTGAATAATTGATGCTCTAGCCTTCAGTAATGGATGGTAGAAGAATCTAAGAGGTACCCTTCGGATTATTCCCTTCTACCATGCTTTGTCTCTTCCTACCCAGCTCAGACCACAGAGTGACCAATTGAATGAAGGATTAAGTTTCCTGAATTTCTTCCCAGTTGCTTCTGTCCTTCTATAGTATTTTTAAACTCATCTGATACCAGATATATATCGTAACTACCAAAAGCTCAGCTTTATTCTCCCTTTAAGAAAAAAAAAAGTGTGTGTGTAAAGAAAATTGATTCTAAGTCTTAAAATCTGAAATCCACTCAGTTGCATTTTGTTTCCATAGATATTTGTTTTTCATTATTGCTAAAAGTTATTAAGATTCAACTTAAAAATCTTTTTTGTTTTTAATTGTTGTAGAACAAAAATTAGAGATCTTCCCTCTTAACAAATTTTAAGTGCATAATACAGTGTGGTTAACTATAGTAACACAGTGTGGTACAGATGTTCAGAACTTTTCCAGCCTGCTTAATTGCAACTTTATATCAGTTGAAAGCAGCACCTCATTTTCCCCTCTCCCCACCCCCCAGCAACATCATTCTATTTTCTGCTTCTAGGAGACTATTTCAGATACCTTGTACAATGGAATCATGCAGCATTTGTCCTTCTCTGACTGCTTTATTTCACTTAGCATAATGTTCTCAAGGTCATCCATGTTCTTGCATATGGCAGCAACTTCCTTCCTTTTTAAGTCTGAATGATATTCCACTGTATTTACGTACTGCATTTTCTTTATCCATTCTTCCATCGATGGCCATTCAGAATTCAAATTTAGAATCATTTTGTGGTCTTTTCTCAGTCTCCGTATGTATTAGATTAAGCATGCATTCATCAAGCAGTTTCAACTTTTAGTTCTGATACCAGTTTGCTTCATTTAAACCAATATAATCACATTGAATTTTAGATGCCTCAAAAATCTAAGCCCACCAATAAGAAAGGAAAAAACATATTAGTTAACTTAGTTTGAATAACTTAAATTTAGACTAAACTTTGTCCCAATTCTTATTGCTCTCTGTTGACCTCATTTCCCACCCTCCCCCTTTCTGTAATGAACACTTTTTGTTAAAATAGACCTACAGACATAAAAGTATACAGATCATTATGCACAGCTAGATCTATTTTTACAAAGTACACTCTCCCTACTAGCTCTCCAGAAGCCTCTCCATGTTGGCACTCAGGTATTACTTCTCCTTTCCCTAACCACTCACCTGGCTGCTGCTTCTTGCCCCTAAGATAAGTAGTTTAATGAAATATACATACATATATACATATATATACTTAATATATATTAAAATAATAAATATATATTTAAAAGTTAGCTTTGTTGAAGTATAATTGACAAAATTGTATGATATTTAAAGTATACATTGTGGTGATTTGCTGTTTGGTGAGAACGGTTAAGTTCTTTTTTTTACGTAACAGATTTCAATTACACATTCAGTGGTATCAACTGCAGTCACCATGTTACACATTCAATCCTCAGAACTTTCTCATCTTATAATTAAGATTCATACCCTTTTACCAACCTCTCCCTACTTTCCTCATTCCCAGCCCCTCACAGCCACTTTTCTAATCTCCATTTCTGTGACATTTTGTTGTGACATACATTTTGTTTGTATTCCACATATAATTGATAACATCCAGTATTTGTCTTATGTGTCTGGTTTTACTAAATATAACACCCTCCAATTCCACCCACGCTGTCACAAATGGCAGGACTTTCTTCTAAATGTAGACCTTTACAGCGCAGTAGCAGTATCTTAGCCAATGAGATTTTTGTGGTTATTTTTTTGTTTCTTCCACCCCTTTTTTTTCATTGACATTATTTTATTATTATTAACATATAATGTATTATTTGTCTTAGGGGTACAGATCTGTGATTCATCAGTCTTACACAATTCACAGCACTCACCATAGCACATACCCTCCCCAGTGTCTATCACCCAGCCACCCCATCCCTCCCACCCCGCTCCATTCCAGCAAACCTCAGTTTGTTTCCTGAGATGAAGAGTCTCTTATGGTTTGTCTCCATCTCTGGTTTTTTCTTGTTTCATTTTTTATTCTCTTCCCTTATAATCCTCTGCCTTGTTTCTCAGATTTCACATATCAGCAAGATCATATGATAGTTGTCTTTCTCTGACTGACTTTATTCGCTTAGCATAATACCCTCTAGTTCCATCCATGTCGTCGCAAATGGCAAGATTTCATTTTTGTGATGACTACATAATATTCTGTCTGTCTATCTATCTATCTATCATCTATCTATCTATCTATCTATCTATCTATCTATCTATCTATCTATCTATCTATCTATCTATCTATATTTACCACATCTTCTTTATCCATTCATCTGTTGATGGACATCTGGGCTCTTTCCATAGTTTGACTGTTGTGGACATTGCTGCTATAAACATTGGGGTGCACGTACCCCTTCGGATGACTACGTGTGTATTTTTTTGCTGGGTCATAGGGTAGCTCAATTTTCAACTTTTTGAGGAACCTCTGTACTGTTTTCCAGAGTGGCTGCACCAGCTTGCATTCCCACCAACAGTGTAGGAGGGTTCCCCTTTCTCCGCATCCTTACCAACATCTGTCATTTCCTGACTTGTTAATTTTAGCCATTCTGACTGGTGTGAGGTGGTATCTCATTGAGGTTTTGACTTGGATTTCCCTGATGCCGAGCGATGTTGAGCCCTTTTTCATGTGTCTGTTGGCCATTTGGATGTCTTCTTTGGAAAAATGTCTGCTCATGTCTTCTGCCCATTTCTTGATCAGATTATTTGTTCTTTGGGTGTTGAGTTTGGTAAGTTCTTTATAGATTTTGGATATTAGCCCTTTATCTGATATGTCATTTGCAAATATCTTCTTCCCATTCTGTCTGTTGTCTTTTGGTTTTGTTGACTGTTTCTTTTGCTGTGCAAAAGCTTTTTATCTTGATGAGGTCCCAATAGTTCATTTTTGCCTTTGCTTCCCTTGCCTTTGGTGATGTTTCTAGGAAGAAGTTGCTGCAGCTGAGGTCAAAGAGATTGCTGCCTGTGTTCTCCTTTAGGATTTTGATGGACTCCTGTCTCATATTGAGGTCTTTCAACCATTTGGAGTCTATTTTTGTATGTGGTGTAAGGAAATGGTCTAGTTTCATTCTTCTGCATGTGGCTGTCCAATTTTCCCAACACCATTTGTTGAAGAGACTGTCTTTTTTCTATTGGACATTCTTTCCTGCTTTGTCAAAGATTAGTTGACCATAGAGCTGAGGGTCCATTTCTGGGCTCTCTATTCTGTTCCATTGATCTGTCTGTTTTTATGCCAGTACCATACTGTCTTGATGATGACAGCTTTGTAATAGAGCTTAAAGTCCGGAATTGTGATGCCGCCAGCTTTGCTTTCCTTTTTCAACATTCCTCTGGCTATTTGGGGTCTTTTCTGGTTCCATACACATTTTAGGACTATTAGTTCCATTTCTGTGAAAAAAGTGGATGGTATTTTGATAGGGATTGCACTGAATGTGTAGATTGCTCTAAGTAGCATAGACTTTTTCACAATATTTGTTTTTCCAATCCATGGGCATGGAACATTTTTCCATTTGTGTCTTCCTCAATTTCTTTCATGAGTATTTTATAGTTTTCTGAGTACAGATCCTTTGCCTCTTTGGTTAGAATTATAACTAGGTATCTTAAGGGTTTTGGTGCAATTGTAAATGGGATCAACTAATCCTTAATTTCTCTTTCTTCTGTCTTGTTGGTGTATAGAAATGCCACTGATTTCTGTGCATTGATTTTATATCCTGCCACTTTATGAGTTCTAACAGTTTTGGGGTGGAGTCTTTTGGGTTTTCCACATAAAGCATATCATGTGCAAAGAGTGAGAGTTTGACTTCTTCTTTGCTGATTTGGATGCCTTTGATTTCTTTTTGTTGTCTGATTGCTGAGGCTAGGATTCTAATACTATGTTGAACAGCAGTGGTGATAGTGGACATCCCTGCCATGTTCCTGACCTTAGGGGGAAAGCTCTCAGTTTTTCCCCATTGAGAATGATGTTCGCTGTGGGTTTTTCATAGATGGCTTTTATGATATTGAGGTATGCACCCTCTATCCCTACACTCTGAAGTGTTTTAATCAAGAAAGGATGCTGTAGTTTCTGAAATGCCTTTTCTGCATCTATCGAGAGGATCATAGGATTCTCGTTTTTCTATTCATGTATTGTATCACATTGATTTGTGGATGTTGGACCAAACTTGCAGCCCAGGAAATAATCCCACTTGGTCGTGGTGAATAACCCTTTTAATGTACTGTTGGATCCTATTGGCTAGTATTTGGGTGAGAATTTTGGCATCCATGTTCATCAGGGAGAGATATTCGTCTGTAATTCTCCTTTTTGGTAGGGGTCTTCGTCTGGTTTGGGGATCAGAGTAATGCTGGCCTCATAAAAAGTGTGGAACTTTTCCTCCCATTTCCATTTTTTTGGAACAAATTCTTCTTTAAACGTTTGGTAGAATTCCACAGGGAAGCCATCTGGCCCTTGGGCTCTTGTTTGTTGGGAAATTGAGGACTGCTTCAATTTCCTTGCTGGTTATGGGTCTGTTCAGGTGTTCTGCTTCTTCCTGGTTCAGTTTTGGTAGTTGATACATCTCTAGGAATGCATCCATTTCTTCCAGGTTATCTAATTTGCTGGCATAGAGGTGCTCATAATATGTTCTTATAATTGTATTTCTGTTGGTTGTGATCTCTCCTCTTTCATCCATGATTTTGTTGATTTGGGTCATTTTTCTTTTTGATAAGTCTGGCCAGGGGTTGATCAATCTTGTTAATTCTTTCAAAGAACTAGCTCCTAGTTTCGTTGAACTGTTCTCCTATTCCTCTGGTTTCTATTTCATTGATTTCTGCTCTGATCTTTATTATTTCTCTTCTCCTGCTGGGTTTAGGCTTTATTTGCTGTTCTTTCTCCAGCTCCTTTAGGTGTAGGGTTAGGTTGTGTACTTGAGACCTTTCTTGTTTCTTGAGAAAGGCTTGTGTTGCTATATACTTTCCTCTCAGGACTGCCTTTGCTATATCCCAAAGATTTTGAATAGTTGTGTTTTCATTTTCATTTGTTTCCATGAATTTTTTTAGTTCTTTAATTTCCTGGTTGACCCATTCACTCTTTAGTAGGATGCTCTTTAGCCTCCATGTATTTGTGTTCTTTCTGACTTTCCTGTTGTGATTGAGTCCCAGTCTCAAAGTATCTTGGCCTGAAAATATGCAGGGAATGATCCCAATCTCTTGGTACCTGTTCAGACCTGATTTGTGACCTAGGATGTGATCTAGTCTGGAGAATGTTCCATTTGCACTAGAGAAGAATATGTATTCTGTTGCTTTGAGAGGGAATGTTCTGAATATATCTGTGCAGTCCATCTGGTCCAGTGTGTCATTTAAAGCCCCTTTTTCCTTGTTGATCTTTTGCTTAGATGATCTGTCCATTTCAGTGAGGGGGGTGTTAAAGTCCCTCACTATTATTGTATTGTCAGTGTTTCTTTGCTTTTGTTATTAATTGGCTTATATAATTGGCTGATCCCATGTTAGAGGCATAGATATTTACAATTGTTAGATCTTCTTGTTGGATAGACCCTTTAAGTAGGATATAGTGTCCTTCCTCATCTCTTATTATAGTCTTTGGTTTAAAATCTAATTTGTCTGATATAAGGATTTTGGTGTCCATTGTCTCCCCCCCTTTCAATTTGGAGGTGTCTTTGGGTCTCAAATGAATGTCTTGCAGATAAATAAATATGGATGGGTCATGTCTTTTGATTGGGGCATTTAGTCCATTTACATTCAGAGTAACTATTGAAAGATATGAATTTAGTGACATTGTACTTTGTGTAAGGTGACTGTTAACTGTTTATTGTCTCCATTACTTTTAGGCTCTTTGCTTAGAGGACCCCCCCCCTCCCCTTTCAATATTTTTTGTAGGGGTGGTTTGGTGATTGCCAGTCGTTTTAGTTTCTGTTTGTCCTGGAGCCAATGAGGTTTATCCAAGGTATGCTTTACCACTGACTGAAAACTTTTCACCTGGCTTCTAAGACACACATTAATGTTTTCGAAGTTTATGTAAATAGGAATAGATAGAATCATATGTTCTATTTGCACCTAACTTCTTTTGCTCATTGTTCTGTTTGTTTGGTAGAGTCTGTTATTGGGTGATGCAGTAGTGTGTATTTCATGGGCTTGTGCCTTGGTTCCAGTTTTTGGCTGTTACAAATGATATATTTTGGTGCACAATTGTACACATTTATGTGTAGCATATAAATGGAGCTATATTGAATTTTTGTGAAAGGATGTGTATATATTTGACTTTTGTATTATTGCTAAACATTTTCCACTGGATTTGGTGGATTTATAATGTCTCCAAAAGTGTCTGAGAGGTCCAGTTGCTCCATGTCCCTGCTAAAACGTGGTACTACTGATCCTTCTGTTTGTTTGTTGTAGCCATTCTGGTGGGTAAACTGAAGCAGTTTTAACATGAATTTGAACACCTTCGCTGAAGTATTTGTAAGCTGCAAAGTTACCGGAGAGTAGTAACATGAAGAAGCATCAAGGGAAATAGGGAAAGTGAATGGAGGTTATCAGATGCAAGAGAGGAACACATGGGAGACCCGCCTGCGGCAATGGGCAGGGTGTGAAAGGCAGAGGACAAGCAGTAACTACTAGAACATGATCACTACCAGGAGTAGTGCCAGCAACTAAATTCATGGCATAGAAATGGAGCCCAATGTTGCCATCTTGTTATTTTTGATCACATTTTCTGATTAGAATTTGGGCAACTAATATCCACCATGAAGGCTGTGAATTCCACTTTGTAATGACTTTTTTTCCCCCTGACTTATTACTAGATCTGGACCAACAAAATAATAGATGACCTTAGGGATAAATACCGACCAATTTTCCTGTGGGTACTGATACTTTTTCCTCCCTCCCTTTTCTTACTTCATTGCACAATTCATTTGTTTAACTTTTGCAGTTCAGCCTACTTGAAATGTTAAAATATAATTAAAAATGGAAATATAGTTATTTGTGTATAGCTCAGGAAAAACAACTCTCTATACGAGCAGAATGACAAAATCAGTAGTGTTTAGAATTTAGAACTGAAAACCTTGAAGGGGCTTCTGCTCTTTTTTTAAAAATTAAATTCAGAGTTAGCAGTATGTTTTAAAATGTAAACATCCTTGAGAGGTATCACAAATTAATGTCATTTAATGTATAAATGATTATGAGGAGATTCTTTCATAAATGTAATGAGGAGAAGCACTCAGGGTGCTAGGAAGCTGTTATCAGGAAGGTAACTTTATCATTTCCTCAAGGCTAAAGTCTATTAATAATACATACTTCAACCTGAAGTGTCTACTGATAAGTTACTTTAACAGATTCAGCATTAGAAAAAAAGTACATTTTTTACCCCCTCAGTTCTAATGACAACTATATTTCATGTCAGATAGAGCCAGAGAAAAGAAGTTTTGGTTATGTTTGACTAACATATGTAATTAAAGTTTTTTGGCAGGAGTGTTCTGAGAGTCATGGGATTCTAGGTCTGGCAATAAATCTGAATTCGTTCAATCTAAAATGTGGTAAGAATCTATTTTCAAATGCAATTTCTCTTTCTGAACAACAGGAGTTATCCATGGAGTCTGGAATTGATCCTGGCCAGGAATATGGACAAGATTATTACAGTTATGAGCATGGGTACATCTTCAGATTTTTTTAATCCAGTATCAGTGTTTTTTTAATGACTAATGAGCTATTGAATATTGTTACTAGCATTTGTGTTATAAATGTCACTTCATCTTTTAAAAGGGATTACATATCTACTTTTAGTTTCAATCAAGTTTTATCCATTTTTCTATATTCAGTTCTGGTTTGTTGATATTGACTACAACTCTAATGATGCAGTAAAATCATTCAAAACTATTTAAATGAGAAATAGAAGTCAAACATATTTGCTCAATTCCTGAATTCACCATTTCTGACACATGTTTAACATTTTATCTAACTAGTCAGCCTCAAGATTTGCCCAAGAGAAATTAAGAAGAAAACATACTTTAGAATGCAGTAATAAGTATATCAAAAGAGGAATGTATACACCATTCCAGACCATGTTTGAAGCAGATCTTCACTGTAAAGATAGAGATGTATGTCCCGAATAAGCTATGTGTTTTACAAAGAACCTATTTCCTGTTCTAAATTCAACTAATTAAGGAATGATATGCTCTTCTCTAAACACCAGTCTCTCCCAAAACTTAAATCTAAAATAACCTCTTTTTACTATTAATTCTAGGATACCATCATGGCAAAAACCATTGGCCATCGGGTTGTACTTCTCACTCTATGGTTTTATAACTAGTTGACAAGGAGCACAATAGGTGCTGAATGATGAGGACAAAGAAGAAAACAGAGGTCAGTCATGGTTACCAGGATCCCATGGAAACATGTTGAAGGCTGTGAGTTTCTGTTTCAGGTATGAGATGCCTCAATATGGAAGCCGTCGCCGTCTGTTACCACCGGCTGGACCAGAGGAGTATGGTGAGGTAGTTGGTGAAGCCGAGGAGGAGTATGAGGAGGAAGAGGTAATGCCATGATGTTTAACCCTATTTGAATAGCGGGCTGCCAAAAATTTCAAAAATCAGAAATCCTATTCACTTACTACTCTTTTTTCTGTAGAAATTTAATAACATGGACCATTTCATTGCCTTGTGTATAGAAGGAAATTAATTGTGCAAATTTAATTTATTTCCTTCTATAAAATGTTAAATGCCTAGAATAAAGTTAACATTATAATCAAATATATAAAAACTATTTTGCAAAACGATGGTTACTTTGGTTCCCACGTTGTCAGGCATACCTAAAAATCATGGAAAAGTACAGTTATCAGAAGCAAAATATTACCACCAATATGTTTAATGGAATTCTATTATGCATGTTTTAATTAACATGAGTCATTTATATACTTTGCCTATAATTATTACTTGGAACATTTATTCAAAACAAAAATAAAATAAATGTCACTGTAGCTTTACCCTGTTCAAAAGTAAGAAAATATCACATGAACTATTCAGATAAAGTATCATAATCTCCTGATTATATAAAGAAAACACATGAAACTATTAAAGTGGAGGGAGAGAGGAGAGGTGATGATTACTTCTTTCTCCTTTGATCTAAGATGTAAAATAAACTCTGAATGAGAAAAAAAATTGGAAAACCTCAGCTTTTAGTATTAGAAAGTACAAACCAAAATACTTTCCATCGTATGCGGTGGGGATGAACCGTGGAGAACTGGGTGCTTATTCTCTGAACCTAGTTATAACCCTGCAGAGTCATCCCGCCTTGACCTGTGTGGGACAAGGTCACATCACAACCATCCCCCCACTGATGGTTCAATTGCATTTTCGTGATTTTCAGGAAGAGGCAAAGAAAATTAGAAAACCAAAAGTCCAAGTTAGAGAGCCTAGTGAGGAGGAAGAAGTAGTGGTCACCATTGAGAAGCCACCACCAGCCAAACCCACGTACACAACATGGAAGAGAGCCAGGATCTTCCCAATGATTTTCAAGAAAGTTAGAGGTCTCGCTGACCAAAGGGGCCTCGCCGAACTTGAGGGGGAAGAGTGGCAGAGACACCTTGAGGAGGTGGATAAAGATTATCTGAAACTCACTCTGGACCAAGATGAAGCCACAGAAAGCACAGTGGAGTCAGAGGAGTCATCGTCCAGTGACTACACTGAGTACAGTGAGGAAGAATCCGAGTTCAGCGAGTCAGAGACCACTGAAGAGTCGGAGTCAGAGACACCTTCGGAGCAGGAAGAGAGCTCGACTCCTGAGTCTTCAGAAGAGTCAGAGTCCACAGAGTCAGACGGGGAGAAGGCCCGGAAAAACATCTTTCTGGCCAGAAGGCGGCCCGTCGTTCAAGAGGTCAAGGAGGTCAAAGGGAGAAAAGAGGAGCCCCCTGAGGAGCTGGAGGAAGAGCCCAGGGTGGAGGAAGCAGGAGAGGAGAGTGAGCAGGTCCTTGAGGAGGAGCCAGCAGGCCTTGAGGTCCCTGAGGAGGAGGAGGAGGGCAGTGTGGAGTCGGCGTCAGTGGGGGCAGGTGGGGACAGTGAGGAGGACTCTGAGCCGGGCCACAGTGTCAGCAGCAGCGAGAGTCAGTCCGGAGGGCCATGGGGCTTCCAGGTGCCCGAGCAGGCCACCAGCAAGAAAGCACCCCGGGAGCAGCCCCCAGGAGACGACTCTGAGGGTGACAACACAGCACTCTGAGCCAGGGCCCAGGAGGTGGGAGTTTGCTGTGGCGAGTGCTCTTGTGTGCCGTGCTTTCTGTGTGCTCTCTGCAATGACAAGCCAAGGGAGGAACATGATCGTGACCTCTAGCTGACCTAGGATTAGAGGCATGCCCGTAAAGGGAACATACGAGTGCTACAAGTAGACTTGTACATCAGAGTGCATTAGGGTCAGACTGACTCATCTTCCTCTATTAGCCATTCCAAGACAAATCATGAGTCGATAGTATCTGCTAGTGGAATTTCTGTGAATCCACTATGGCATTATGCATTACCAGTGATGCCCTGCCCGGTCAATGGATTTTAGGACTACCTGGGGCTGTTTGTTTTTATTTCATCTGTAGACAATAAATCCTTAGGATAAAACCAGCAACAAATGAGACCTCTTAAAAGTCTACTTTTGCATATATGTACATTTCAACTGGCAAAAGTATTATAAAAAAATATCACGAACATGTTCAAATGGGTTTGTATTAGGAGATAAATGAACTTAAAAGTTTTTACCATTTCTTTTCTTTTCCATTGTGGATATGAGTTAAAGTGGATGTAGAAAAAAAACTGAATTTTTACAAAACTTTTTTCTGGGTAAGTAAACATAGTAAATTTGAAATATATATCTGGAAATCAAAAAGCATGGCTTACTTAGTCCAACCCATTGGTAGTTCACATATTCTAAAAATGTGATACTATTTTGACAGTAACCTAGTATTGGTTAACCTTTGCTCTTTGCCATATCTCATGTGGGTTGGTAAAAGAAAAATAAATTTGTAGACATGTCCATTGTGTTCCAGTTGCCTACTAGAGGAAAGTTTACAATCATTCGTTTTCATTTTTGTGTATGACTGAATCAATGATTCAGGATGGGAAAATTCTTTCAAGTTCACATATATTTAAATAAAATGATCCAGAAAACCAGGATACGTCACGTGAATACAAAAAGGATACAAAAATTGTGGCTATTATATTAGCAATTAGAATGATGTGGGTTAAAAACATCTTTAAAATTTGGGAAAAGGAAGTATTAGTATGAACAGAATATACTAATACTGTGTGTTCCCTTCTATTGAACTTCTCGGAAGAGTAGAGCAACTGTAGAGCAAACAATGGATCAGATCCTTACCTAAATATAAATAATACACCTTTTTTTTTTCCATATAGAGCAGTACTTTGATCTAAAAAAATACAAGTGCTTCCTGAAATGTCTGCTTCTTAACCGAGCAACACTGTCTTCAGAAGTGAAGCTCTAAATCCAGTGGACAGTTGGCGGGAAGGAATGTGCTGTTAATAATATTGAGTTTCTTCTCTCCCTTTTGAGTTCTTTAACCTTCTATGGCTTTCTATCAGCGTTTCTGAATTTCACAGACCTTGTCATTGTTGCCCCTTTCATTCCTTTGACAGTGACTCCTTGTTTTTGATTTTGGCAGTGGGCGAGAAAAAGAATGATCAGGTTAGTTGTGGATCGCGAGTACGAAACGAGCTCCGCCGGAGAAGACAGTGCTCCGGAGTGTCAGAGGAGCCGCCCTCACCGTCCCACCACACACAGTAACATCAACGGCGACATCTACATTGCCCAGAACGGGTCCGTGGTGAGAACCCGCCGTGCCTGCCTCACTGACACCTTAAAAGCAACTTCCCCTGTCCGACTGGGGAGGCATTTTAAGAAACTTGACAAGTTGGCAGTGACACACGAGGAGAATGTCCCCCTGAACACGTTATCGAAGGGGCCGTTCTCTACCGAGAAGATGAACACGAGACCCACTCTGGTTACGTTTGCCCCTTGCCCTGTGGGGACCGATGGTACCGCAGGGAAGCCATTGGGGCCCAGGCTGAAAAGCACAGTTGAACAGGAGTCCATGGTTGACAGTAAGAACATCAAGGAGACTTTGGAATTCCCTAGTGACCACACACGCTCAGACGACGAGGAGCTTTGGATGGGCCCCTGGAACAACCTCCATATACCAATGACAAAACTGTGACTGATTTTTTTAAAAAGTTATTTTGATTTTTACTTCAGTTTTTAATAAACTGTGCTTTTTATTGTCACTGAGAAAATGATGTATGGGATTTATATCATGCACACAAGCTAAAACTTTGAACAATATGCTTTAAAGAAGTTTAAAAAGAGACAAATTTGCACTCGCCTTTGTATCAATTAATTGTTCTTCCCAGAAAATCTTTCTGGACAGACTCTCAATTCTCTGAATAACATATCATTTAAACTTACCATTTAGCTGTTTTGTTGGATCTTTAATTTTTTTTTCATTTTAATAAATGAGAAATAGTAAGTTATCATTTCTATTTTGTCAGTTAACCTAGATTAGTCTTCAGCTCTATCTTCACAGAACACTTTTTGGCACATGTTGTGAATTTAGTTTTCATAAAAATGGGAAAAATTATATTAGAGCATTTTACAGGTAATGGGTTTATACAGTTGCCATCTATACCATCCTGATTTTTTTAAAGGAAAGAATTACAGAGTGATAGCAAACGTGAGAATCTTCTGTAAATTACTGAGAATCATGAGCCTATTTTCCTTATTGTCCAACATACAGTTTTTCAGATTTTTACATATGCATTTGTTGACCTTTTAAACAACACTTGAAATTGTATCTCTTTTATAAATACCATTCACAACTTTCCCTGGCATCTCCCCCACTCTGACCCCTTCACACACATACTTCACGAACACTCTATCCACACCAAACATAGTAGGTGATTTAGTTTCTCCATCTGAAGTTAAATAATTTCTGGAGCATCACAGAAATCTCACCCTCAGCAAAAGCTTACTGAGGGAGGAAAGGATCAAATAGGCAATAATGCATCTAGAACCACAACTTCAGTATGGAAGATGTAGTAAGATCAGAGAAGTCTCACATTAATGTCATTGGTCATGAATATTTTATAAACTCAGTATAAAGGCATTTGGCAGGGTCAAGAATTTATATAATAGGTGAAATGCCTATGAAGGGTATAAATCCACAGCTTCAATCACTTCTCCCAGGTACAGCTTATTTATAGAATATTTTAATACCCATAATATTTATGTGCATATAGTGCAGAACCACAATATGATTGCCTGGGCATTTTTTTTAATCAAAAAACACAGTTTTGATTTTTTACCACTGAACAAAGCACAGTGTTTCATCATTAACAAAAATGAAAACCAAGTATTCTTTCAAAAAAAACAAAAAACAAACCCAAGAAACTTGCCTTGTGTGTTGCATACTCTCCAGATGTTAAAAGGATGACACGATATAAGAGAAAATTCAGAACTGTATTGAATATGACTTCATATGATACTGAGTTCACCTCAAATTTTGCACAGTATTGACCAAGTTCAGATTTCAATAAAATTCTCATGCATGCTTATTATATGGTTGAAAGAGACTGAATAATGCACTATTAATTTCTCTCTCACCTGTTTCATAGTTTAAAAATAGTTGATTATAATGCTGTTTCCTTATTTCCAAAGTGAATGAATTGTATGTAACATGAACTTGCTAACTTATGTAACTAGTATGGTTTAATTTCAGGTTTCAAAAAGTACTTGAGATCAAATGCAGGAACATCTCATTTATCTGACATTATTGGAAATCAGTGCCTTCTATACCCTTACTGGAAAAACTGCCAGCATTAACTGGAAAGAAATATGGCATTCTAACATTAGGTTGTTAGAAATATAGTCTTGCTCACACCCCCAGATTGTACTAAACAAAAATCCACATTCTCACAAGATCCCAAGGTGGTTGGTACACATATTAAATTTTGACAAAGAATGACCCATACCACTGAACTCCAGAGCTTACTCCTTAAAGCACCAAAGCAATTGTTTTTAGTATAACATACATCGGATAGAAGTTAGATTGTGCATATTATATTTTCCTACCTGTTCAGTCAGAGATCACTAACTATACTATTTCCCTAATGTCTGAGGGTCATCTCACCTAGCATCCCATGATGGTCTCTGTGCAAAGAGCTTTATCTGTTTTTCTCCCTCCCTTTTCAGGCTGTGGTATTTAACTAATTTTGTCACTTTGCCTCTCTCTAAAATATATCTTCCAGTTTATTTCTAATTTCCTGGTGAGAAAGTCTGTGTCTTTGTTTTGCATATTATTGAAAAATTATTAAACCCTAGATAGGGATCAGGCATGTGGATTCAAACAAAAGTCTGGCAATTCACAGAAGCTTTTTGGGATAGCTATTGGGATCTGAGTGCTGTCTGAGAGATCTGAAGTTGGCCGAAAACTAAAGTCTAGATAATATGAGATGTCACTGTATTTTAAGGTTCACTTTTTACAAGGAAACATCAAAATATCACAAGCTACTTAGCAGACACATTTGAGCAATTTCCAGTTGACCGCTTCAGTAAAAACAATAAAGCTAAGCAGTATTCACACAGAGCAACCAAACCAAACATTTGGTCAGTATATTTTGAGGTAAAGTATACACAGCAGCAAGAACAGTACCAACTAAATAAGTCTGGACTGAATCAGTTACTTTGATAGGACTTTCACTGTTCTAGAACACTCTGACTCAGGATTAAAATTGTGGAACCCAGGGGAGATGCCCACATAGTTTAAATTTAATACTTGATATAAATGATGTTTCTATGAACTTATAAAGAAATCGGTGGTTGTTTTTCCTAGATAGGCATAGTGATCGTTCTTAGTCAGTACTGGCTTTTGATCAGGAAGAAGGAACAGGAGATCCCAACTGGTTAAGATGAGAACCAACTGATAGGACTCTCTTATTGCTAAACCTGCAGACTTCAGAAGGTCTCGAGGGCAGGAAGGGTGGGGGGAGGAAGAAGGAAAACTAAGTTGACAGAACATTTGTGACTCTATGGCCATCAGGTCACAGATGCCAACCTCTGAGCCCAGCCTTCTCGTTTTCATTAATTATAGACGCTGAGTTGTTATAGAATCATAACTGTAGGTTAGCCAAAAGCATCTTTTTAAATCCAGAAAAAAAGAAGTTTGCCTTGAATTTTACATGTGATACATCATTTGTGTTATTAGGCCACTTTGTAGCTTTTTGGGTTTTTTTTTGTTTTTGTTTTTTTAGAAATTGTTAACAGGGAGGTTAAAACGTATTATTTATCCTATGTAGTTCTTCCAAAGGGGATATGGTGGACACTATTAAAATATCATTAATTGCATTTATGGATCATGGAGCCTGAAAAAAAAAAAAAACTGAATTTTGATGCTTGAGGGAAGACATGTTCTTTCTTTTATTTCATGAGTTTTTCTTTTTCTCTTGTTTTGCTCCACTGTCTGCACTCTGCCCCAGAAGTGCACCTTCTGTACACCACGTCAATTAATTCGTAAAATAGGCAGAAAGTGCTAATAATCTATTCTCAGGGCAGATGCACGCTGGTGCCTGCAAATAACACAGCGATAGGCTGAGGGATAGGTTCAAAATAATATTGAGGACCTCTATTTTTATTGATTGTTTCTTTCTCTTTTCAAATGATACCATGAATTCCTTTGGTTTACTTTTCTCTCTTTTGTTTTTGCATTTGTGGACCTCGATCGTTATAATCTTTACTCTTTAGATTCGTTTTTCACTGCAATCTACTTTAAATTTATGGTAAGTTAAGCACATGTATGGAAGACGTGAACTTTGTCTATGGTTTGGGAAATTATCAACACATTCACTGCTTTCCCAATTTCTTTATTCAAACACCTGTTTTTCCTTAACAAATATGTTACTGTATGAGGAATATGAATTAGAAACTTTCAGTTAAAATGCATTGTTACTCACCACACAATGTTTCAAAAATAAATTCCCATTTGAAAAAAAAAACTGTTTCTCATTATTCTGTCAGGTGAGGATAAAAATCAGTAACTATTTTCCCATTTACGTGTTTAATATTTCAGTTTGATAGTACAAAGGAAAACCTGCTCTGCAGACTCATCTTTGAATGATGCAGAGAAGGGAAGTGTCCTTAAAACCCTCATCCTTTTATAGACATTTCAGTCATGTACACAAGTCACCAAATTCTAAGAAGGATGGACACGGTATTTCCTAAAATACTGGCTGTTTAAAAAACTATATAATCACTTAAACACGAAAGTGTTCATATACAATCAGTTACATTCATAGAAATGCTAAATAGGGAGCAACTGGGTGGCTCAGTCGGTTAAGCGTCTGCCCTCAGCTCAGGTCATGATCCTGGGGTCCTGGGATCAAATCCTGCATCAGGATCCTTGCTCAGCGGGGAGTCTGCTTTTCCCTCTCTCTGTCCTTCCCCCGACTAGGGCTCTCTTTCTTTTTCAAATAAATAAATGAAATCTTAAAAAAAAGAAATGCTAAATAGAATAACTATATCAAAAAGCATGGTTGACATGAAGTTACATTATATCTTTAACATGATAGAAGGCTGATGTTTCAGAGATTTACAATTTGTACACCTCTATCTATATCTAATTTTCCATCTATCCACCTGACTCGTATTTCCCTATTATAACTTTGTAATGCAGCTGATGATATAATAATGTCAATCACCTTTTCTCTCAAATAATCAGGATCGGGAAGGATACATTTTCTAAGACAGCCATCATGAATAGAGAGAGAATTCCTGGTCCTTTGCCATTCTGGTGTTCATCAGACAGATATCTCTGTATCCCTGTATTTCTAGAGCCTACATGCCCTACATGAACAGCTGTTAAGGAAAATATTGAGTGAGTTCATTCTTGGCCCAATATTGTGTAACTTTGGGCATGTCATTTTATAATTTGCCCCCTTCATTGGAATATGGCAATAATAACATTCACTAAGAGGTAAAATTGGATATTTAATCTGAACCTATTTTGACATCTCTATAATACTACATGTACCGAACAAAAGATTAGAAAACTTCCTTTGCATTCTTCTTCATAAATAGGCCTTCTAATATTTTACTGGCTAAATGCCAGTATACTTTATGTTTTTTTTTTAAGATTTTATTTATTTATTGGACAGAGACAGTGAGAGAGGGAATACAAGCAGGGGGAGTGGGAGAGAGAGAAGCAGGCTTCCCACTGAGCAGGGAGCCCAAGGCGGGGCTCAATCCCACAACCCTGGGATCATGACCTGAGCTGACAGCAGACGCTTAACGACTGAGCCACCCAGGTGCCCCAATGCCGGAATACATTTTATCAATCTATTCCATATAGTAGGTATTCTAAGTTACAG